TATATCCCATGTGATTTTTAAACAACAAACAAAACAATCTTGAGCAAGCAAAGAACTCATGACATCTCAAAATCACTTTTTTAATTTAAAGAAACCTACAGGTTTCATGTGCAAAAGATACAGATAATGTCATTAAATAAATTGTGAGTATTAAAATATGACTTCTTAAAGACCAGAAACAAATCTGTTATAAAACACTTTCTTCTGAAATAAAGATATTAGAAAAATTTGTGTTCACGCAAACTTCCATTGGTTTAAAAACTAAATTGAAGTCCCAAGGCAATTTTAAAGTACTCATGAACATACCAATACTGATTAGCACTAGTAAATATGGAAAACCACATCCATATAACTTATATTTATTACTACATGGTTATTTGAAAACAATAACATACTTCACAAAAATAAGAATCTCTATGAGGAAAAGTATATAGCCAACCTATTTTAAAATATGAAAACTATGGCAAAGAATCAACTAAAATGGGCTTTCAGAAACTGAGATTACAGAATCCCACAATAAAACAAGAAAAAACTATGAGAACACATTGGTGGAAAAGGCATAACCTCTTGCATTCTAATATTTATTTTATTATTTTTCTTAAACCCAGACATTTGCCACAAACACTAATGGGAGCTTCAAAGAAAGATTGAAAAACACAGAAAAGAACAAAGTAACTCTAATCTTGAAGATGACGACCTAGGAAAAGATTATATAAACACTGAAAAATAAGTAAGGAGGTCAGCAATGCACAATGTTAGAATTAGTATGATAAAGGGAACTCAAATTTAATTACAATGGAACTTTTTAAAAGGATATTACATTTTTTTTGCCGTGATATATTTAAAACCCTGTTTTATTTCAAAAGAAGTGGCCAAGTACAACCTTTTCCTCTTGAAGTATCATCCCAAAGAAAAAGGAGAAAGATTATAGAAAAACCCTGTTTCCTCACATTTAATGATATATTTATACCAGATGCTTGAACATGTATTGTTCTGCCTAAGGAGAAAGATTAGCTTTTATTGTACTTTTAATGTTTGTGTTTAGTTCTTCAATTTTTACTTTTTAAAAACAAAGTAGTCCTAATACTGTCTCCAATTTTAAATAAATACTGATTATATATTCCTGATTACACAAGGTTACTGTACCACACTGAATTAGCAGCAGATAATGTGCTGTTTTACTACATAATGTAGCACTCAATCTCATAAACTCTCATATCATTCTCTAGTTGTTCCACACAGATACCCCTTACTCATCCAACACCTTTTCAAAGGCAACGGATAGATAATTAAAACACTAACACATATAGAATGAACATAACATTTCTTGAACTTCCTTTATTTATTCTGAATATCAACAAAGTGCTATGACAGTTATCATCAGAAAGATTTCGAAGTTTTTAAAAGGCAAAAAATGGCCAAAGCTATTCTGGTACCCACAAGGATTAAAGAAAATAGAAAGACAAGTAGGAAATATTTCAAGTACAATTAAAGAACTGAACACAGGATAGAAAACAAAAAGAAAGCATCCATTACCTTCCATTACCTAAGCATATATACAAGAGCCCATTCTCTTTCATTTTCAGTGGGTAACAGTTTGATGCCTACCAAGGCCTCTAAAGTTCATCTGGTTTAAGAACTGTAATTTAAGGAATGTTTTATTAGGCAGAAAATTGGCCTCAGTCTGCTACTATATACTGGGTTTTTGCGTGTGTGTGTGTGTGTGTGTAGGGTGAATGAAGACTCAAATAATATATTTTTCTGAGAGATCTTCAAATTATCATGTCACATTGTTGTAATAGCTTAGATATAAAGATTGGTGGGAAATACCTTCAATTAATTCAAGATAGTGTATATGACACGTTCAAGCATTGCAAGCTTGAGCAACACTTGAACTTCTATAAGAGCAAAAATCTATAGCTGAATATATTGAATAATCTCCCAGGAAAGGGACAGGCCAACACTCATTTATAGACTTTACACATTGTTATTAGGGTTGTATGATGTTACTTTGCTTACAGTGAACTGATATCCTCTATATAAGCTTGTAAGTAATAATAACTTCAGTAAAAAGGATATATACTCTTTGATTTAAAATATTCAGGTATTAATGAATAAACATACTGTAATTTTAACATCTCACTGAAAATTCCTTTTTAAATTTTGTTTTTGAGATGAGATCTTGGTATGTTGCCCAGGCTAGACGCAAACTCCTAGGCTCAAGTGATCTTCTTGTCTCCTGAGTAGATGGGGACTACAGGCATGTGCTACTGCACCTGGCTAAAAATCCCATTTTAATGTAATTTCAAATTCATACTTTTGAGTATGATTTCTTGCAAGAGTAACTAGCTAATAACATTTTAAAGTAATTCTTAGTCTTGAAGAAATAAATAGAAATATCTAATAATCATTTTAAAGTCAGAAATGTGCATAAAAACTTATATTTGCTTTAAACAAGTTTTAAATTTCAAGCTTTTCCATTAAAAAATAGGTTATTTAAAAAAAGAAATGCCAACCCAAATTTTATGTACAACTGAAATAAAATCAACCTACAAAACAATTTCTTGCCTATTTATTGAACTCAATTATATATTTAGCTCTTGATGCAGGTAAACCTGAAGAATCCAGGTGTAAGAATTAAGACTTCAGTTCTAGAATTTAGTATATTCTAGGCCTAATCAGTTTGAGACTGAAGGGAAAAAAAAAGTTAAATGTTTTAAAATAATTCACTTGTTAACAAAAATTCACTATTATTACAAGGTTGTATATGATGACAAAAGGCTACAAATAAAAAATAATCTCCTCAGATATTTAAGTGATTAAGTAATTTCTATAATTTTAATTTTGCCAAATAATGAGAAACTACTCAATGTCTTAAGATACCAATTCCAGTTTGTAGCTGCTGCTGTATTTTTAAGAGCTTCAACTTCAAATACCTCAACCTTTTATGGAAAGATGGAAACACAGAACAAATTATATATAAGTATCCTTAGGGTACTTAAAGGAGACAATGACATTACTTTTAAGTCTAGCTGGAAGGTCATATGCTACCTCCATTGCCTTAAACCAATGCCTTAGACCCTTCCCCCTAAGAAACCAAGCTGCTTGTATTCTAAAAATAAAGGCATGGGTGTTGGGGAGCAGGGAGGAAAAGCAATGGCTAAGGCAGATCAGAGAAAGTTAAGAACTGTCTGAAAAGGCCTTACATGACCTAGTTCGAGGTCCTCCTTTTATAGATAAGGAAACTATGACCCAGAGAGATGAAAGCCTATAAACTATGTTATTCAAAGTCATAAAAATTGTGAGAGGAAAAGGAAGAAGATCCAGGTTTCCAGGTTTCAGACCTCCTTTCCTTCCAGTTCAGTTCTCTTTCCACTATTTTTTTTTCCACTACTCTCTTCCACTTCATTACATCATACCTCTGCTCAATAGTCCATAAGGAATGCCAATATCTCAGCAGTTTACCAAAGAAATTTATCTTTAAGCACCAAAATTCTTTTTTCCTAAAATGAATTTACCTGAAACCCTAGGTTATAAAACAGGTAAAAGCATACGGCTTTGACTGAAGTCAAAGTGGGAGGGCTAGAGCCCTTGTCTGGTGGCAGCACCAGAGCCTGGGTTTGAAAGCTTCCCTTCCATGACCACCTCTATCTACGTGCCAGCACTCTCCCAACTGAAACCATTTCAATAACCTAATTTTTCAACACCTGCCTCCAGCCCCATGGACCCTTTATGCCAGCTAATTTGTCTTCTTTCCTCTCTATGAATACATCTCTCTCTTATATATGTATATTGTTTCTGCCTGCACACTTAGAATAATTATGCCCCTTCCTCTCTGAAAATATTTTCCTTGCCATCTTCAAAATAATGAAAATAATTTTCCTCTCCTAACATACTATCTCCTAGCCATTTATGATTTGAACAGTATAAAAGTAATACATAAAAAAAATTCACTAATACAGCTTAATTGGGCCAGAGCAGAAATAGACAAATAGCTAACTTACATTAACAAGACAACAAATTGCAAATTACATGAGATAACAACTCAGTCTAAGTGAAGACTCTGGCAGAACTACTTTGTAAATAGATAGTTCTTGTCTAAAATAACTACTGACTGATTATCAAAGTTATGGCTAACCCTCTAGATTAAAATGCTATTTACAAATGTATTATGAATCTGCTTATACAGTCCTTACTTGTAAAATCATCTCGTTGATAAATTAACCAAGGAAGAGCCTTAGCTATGGATAACAGCTCCATTCACAATGTCAAGTCTATATTCATTCAAACTTGAGCTCTTTAATTAAGAATTCTCATATATAAGAATTGAGTTTTCTATATCCTGTAATAAATTTCATCGCCTGGTATCCAATATACATTCAAATTCAGTCCACAAGTAAGAAAGACTCCAAGATTTTTGCATAAGAGTTGCTCCATAGGAAACTGATTATTTAGAAGGACACAGGATATAAGAGAAATAATAAAATTTAGAATAAAATACTATGTCATAAAGTTTTTTTATAAAAGTGAAAAAAAGTGAACTAAGATGGCTTTTTTAAGAAATATATCTGAAAATAAATGTAGCAGATTTCACGGCAAAAATTTACAAACTTTTGTAAAACACTGATAAAATGTAAAGCTGAATGTTAAGTAAACATATTTTGTACCTAACTCCATATAATTCTGAAGGGAGATGAAGTATGTTTAGTTTGACTGATGTTTAAAGTCGGTGCTCTTGGGTATATAATTAATTCCTTTTTCCAAAAATAAGTTTATTATGTTTTAGAAGTATAAATTTAATATGAATTACTTTTAAATTTGAAAATAAAACATTTTTATTAAATAGTTTAAATCATGTGATCCATAAATATAAATTGCTTTAATGCCCTCTAACATATGTTTAAATAGGTATAATTGGAAAGTAAATAATAAATCCTACTCATAATATAAATACTAAATTCCTAACCAAAATCCTGAAAAACATACACTGTGCAGCCTACCTGGTCTATTCTGGATGTTCCGGCTGCAGTGCACCAACTATCTTGGAGTGAATCTGAGCCCCAAGCTGGCAACTGCAAACTAGATCTCACCTTCAATAGCATAGAAGTTTTCATCAGAAATGAGCAGTTCTTTCCCCCATACCCGCTCCCCCACAAAAAGGAAAGAAAACAAAAAACAAAGTTCTATGTTAAACTTTTGTTCCATCCTCTAAAGGTTTTAGGGGGGAAAAAAAGAGAAAGAAATCTCACTTGAAATAGCCATAAAGGAACTTCAACAAAATATTCAACGAAACATTAAAAGGCCTGAGGGAAAAGAAAATCTAATCATCATAACTATTAGGCCACGTTTAGAAAAAAATAATCACTGAACCAGTGAAGACAAATTTGAATTATATGCAAAAAGCCCTAATATTATTATTTTGCCATAATCACAGCTGCACTAAGTATATTCTAACATGTATACAGCTGATCATAGTCAAACCTATGAACGATTACAATTACACAACATTTTAGCTTAGCTAGATTATAGGACAAATTTTGGTAGCCTATCAAAGATTAATGAACTAAAGCATTCTTAAGGAGCTACCAATTAAAAGCTTCAACATGTATTTAAGAAATAAAACAGGTTATTCTACATTTTACTAAGCTCATTTTCCATTGTGTGTTTAGAGAATTTTCTGCATTCTCAACTTTCTCTATGTAGTTATTTTACCCTTTGTTAATTAAATTATGTGCTTAAAACTAGAACTTTATTTTTAAAAATCTGTTAATTTTACTACATTACTGCTTCTTCTACCAATACCACCCAACTTCCTATTTCAAAAAATTAACATTAGCAATAAGGCCATTTACATACCATTCTTACCTGTAAGGGTAAGAGTGTATTACTATTGTTGTCTGTTCTGAACACATTATCTTCAATCCAAGATTTTGGAGTCAGTGATGGAGTAGAGCGAGTAAATTTCGGTGGTGCTATGACATTACCAGAAAATGGTTTCTTCAGTGGAGATATCTGATTCATAGTTCCTGGAATTCCCATGTTTCCAGTTCTACGATGATCTCTGCCATGCATTGCTCCCCAGGACATACTTCCAGTGCCCCAGCCACCGCTCTGATGGTTGCTCCAAGGAGACTGTTTCAGAAGAGGCTGGGGAAAACACATCCATTTAAATTGTGGGTATTTAAAGAGTTTATAATTCAAATTTTAGACCTTAGCTAAGTACTTACATGATCTTAAAAAAATGAACTATATAAAGGCAAAATAATATATTTTAACAAGCTTACAAAAAAGTAATAGGCTTGAGATCTTGCTATATGAAATCATGTTTAATGCTGGGCAAGTTTTCATCTTCTTGTCTACTATAAATATAACGGTATTTCATGACAATAAAATAGAACCATGCAGTTACTTTTTTTTCCCTCCAAGAGAACTGTAAAAATGATAAATATGAAGAAAAAATACATACTTTTATAACAAATTGACTTTGAAGACCCTTAAAAGATATAACCTATTTTGTGATCTTAAAGCAACCACACTGATAGTCACACAACTAAAAATATGGTCTTTATTGATATAAATATCTCAATAATATGAAATATTTAGACTTTAGGTTTCCAAAACAAGTTGTACCACTACAAAAGTGGATAATGATAACATTTGGCGTTACTCTCTTGCATGAACTAAAAATGCCTTTTGGGATAGAGACAGTATAGGAATTATGTCATTTTTCTGCATTGTTTATTCAACGTTTAAGGTATTTTATTCCAGTTTTAGTATAGTTTCTTTTAAAGTGTTTTCTTTTTTTAGTTCATTTAATTATCTGTGAACTCCAAAGCAATTATCTGATGTTACCCATAGGTGGATCCACTGAGATATACTACCAATAAACAGCTATACACTTTGATTATTCTAGTAGAGATCTTCATACAAATCTCCATTCAAGTGTCTGTTAAGTTCATTCATTTTCAAAAGTAAATTATATTCCAACCTAAAACCTACGGCAAGAACAGTCAAATCATCAAAGAATGGAAAATTCACCAAAAGGCCAGTAATCGTATTAATTGCTAGTAATTGTACTGTAAATAGGTTTAGACAATAATAATTTGGTACTAAAATACAGCCAAAGAAGTATGGAGTATGCAGTTACTAAAAATAAATATAGCACTCTTAAAATTAAACCTGTTTTTTAAAAGACAGTTAAAAAAAGCAAAACTCTGATCCACAGCACCAATTTTTAAAAACTTTCAAATGCTAACATAATCTTGAATATATACTACTCTTTCCCCCTCCACATAGTTTTAAAAGCATAACTAGGGGGCCATGGAGGAATCACTCCATTCTTGAGGCCTTACTTTCCTTACTAAATGATTCGATGTTCAAAGTTCTCTTTCATTGATCTGAAGTTCCATATGAAAGCTGTGTGACCTCTTACACTCCATGGAGAGACCTATCTTTTGTCCAAAAGCAGATTACAATTAAATATGGATCATGCTATCTGTCCTTCTACTGTTCTATATCATGACTTTAAGAATACAAAATTGCGTATAGATAATTTTCTGTGGCAAGTTTCCAGTTAAAAAATGAAGACCCTGAGACACAAAAGATACTTGCTCAAAACTATGCAAATCAAGTAAAAGCAGAACATTATTTCAAAATTCTGTATTTTCAACCATTATAGGCCACACTGTCTTTACTCAGAGGGGAAAAACTAGTGATTTGACAAAAACTGTTAATTGTTACTTTTGCTAATTTAGATAAATTGCTAGCTGTTACTCTGGTTAATTTCGATAGTATTCACTTTTTAAAGGGTTAGCCCTTAAAAACTGTGGTCAACTAAAAAAGTTATGAGTTAAGTAAGCACTGGTTAAGGTCATGTTTTGCTTCTCTGTCAATCCTTAATCACGGGAATAGACTTAAACAGAATGATCACTATAGTAAATGCTGACCAGATTATAAAAAAAAAAAATGACACTTTCAATGTCAGCTAACCAAGTGATCACCCAAAAATTATATTGAGGGCATAACAAAGATCATGAATCAAAAAGAACCCGGACAAATAAAAATCCTGCCTAGAATTATTTCACAATATCACCTACTTAAAATACACACACCTCGTAATTCCCTTACAAAAGGTTAAGGCCACCAAAAAATGTACCAAAGTCTACGAGGAGGAGAAAACACACTAATCCCAGATTCAAGTTTAGTTTCGTCTTAAAACCCACAAAATAATATCAAACATTAAATAGCACGGAAACTAAAACAATCGCTGGGTGTCTCTGTTTTAAGCAACCAAGCCATCACTAACAGTTTTTCTTTTCAAGTCCTCTGACAGCCCGAGGACGCGGCCGGCGTCAGAACCGGGTAGGGCCCAAGAGCGCGGCCGCTCTCTCCCGAGTCGGCGGCGGCCCAGGCGCTGCGCAGCCGGCAGGTTGACCCGGGGGCGTTGGAAGCAGCCCGACGGCCCGCCGCGCCGGGGCGGCTTCGCAGCGAGATCCCAGGCTGACCAATTGAGAATGAAACAAACTCTAAAGAAAAAAAGCCTTTCCGCCCGTTCCCTCATTGGACGGCGGGGAAGAGTCACGGGCTCTCTGCACGCACCGTCTCCGGCAATCATTTTTCTCCTACCCAAGTTCACTTCCCACGGCTCCTCCGAGGTCCCCGGTCCCCGCGCCGTCCCCACCGCACCGCCCCGCGTCGGAGGCCGGGACAGCGGCCCTTCGGGCCAGGGCCCCAGGCAGAGCCCGGGGTGCGCCCGCTACAAGGGCCGGGGGGAGCCGCCTGCCCGCGGCCCCGGCGCCATTCCTCCCTGCCGCAGCCCCCACCGCCAAGCCAGGGCGTTCGAGGGGGCGCCCGGCCAGCGGCGGCTTCCAGCGCGAACCCGTCTCCTGAACCCCCACAGCCCACGGTGGCCACCGCTCGCCCGCCCCGCCGGGACTGGAGTCCCGGGACCTGTCACCGTTGTCCGTCCTCCCAGTCCCACTCTCACTTGCGCGAATGGTCGCGGCCGAGCGTGGGTCCCTGGCCTCCCCGACGCCGCCACTGCCCCCACCCGCAGTCTCCCGGCCCCGCAGCGCGGCCAGGCCGCCGCCCGCCGTACCTGGTGGTGGTTGTAGGAGTTCCTCTGCTGCAGGAAGGCGGCGGCCGCCGCCTGGTGCTGCTGCTGGAGCTGCGGGCTGACGGGCGACCTCCTGCTCTGCGGCTGCTGCGGCGCCGCGGGCGGTGGGGGCTGCTGCTGAGGTAAATTCATGGCGGGCGGCGGCGGGGGCACCGCGGTCGCCGAGAAGGGGCCGCCAAAGCCGCCACCGCCGCCGCCGCTGGCCTGCACGCTGAGCCCCGCGCAGCCGTGCGGCGACACAGGCGAGAAGCTCGGGAAGAACGCCGGGTTCATGGACGACGGCAGCCCGGGGTAGAAGCCGTTCTCGGAGTCGGGGCTGGGCGGCGGCATGGCGCTGAGCGAGCCGCCGCCGCCACCGCTGCCGCCCGGAGTGGCGGCCGACGAGCCGGGCGGCTGCGGCTGCGGCTGCGGCGGCTGCTGGGGCGGCGGCGGCTGCTGGGGCGGCGGCGGCGGTGGCTGCTGGGACTGGGGCGGCGGCGACGCGGTCTGTACCGACCAGGGGGTGCCGAAGCCGGGCAGCGGCGGCGGCGACGCGGAGCCGCCTCCCCCTCCGCCTCCGGGGGGCCCCCCGCCCCCGCCGCCGCCGCCGCCCGGGTGCGGAAGGTCCGGGCTCTGCAGGCTGCTGAAGGCGCCCGCGCCGAGTGCCCCGCCGGGCAGGAGGTTACTGGGACTGTTGAGCAGAGGGTGGTTGGGGGACTCCATGGAGCCCGGCGCTGGGTTCACCGGCGTCGTCGAGGGGGCCAAGCCCGCATTGGAGGGCTCGGCAGCGCTGCCCTCGCCCGCGGCCGGGGTCTTGCGAGGGCTGCCCGAGCCTCCGTGGCGGCGCCGCGGGGCTGCGGACGGCGAGGGCGGGAGCTGCGGGAGCGGGGGCAGGTCGGCCGGACGCTGCCGCGGGGCGAAGTCCTGCCGCGGGAGGTGCTGCGGGTGCGGGAGGCTGAACTGCTGCGGCTGCTGTTGCTGCTGCTGCTGGCGCTGGGCGAGCGGCGCCGGCTGGAGGAGCGGGCCGGGCGGCGGCGGCGGGCTGAACCGGCTGGGGCAGTGGAGCGGCGGCGGCTTCGAGTCCAGAGGGTGGGGAAGGTGGGGAGGGCTGAACTCTTTCCTCTTCTGGCTGCTCAGCTGCTGCTGCTGCCGCTTACTGAAGTCCTGCGGGGAGGAGGTGCGGCAGCAGCAGCAGGAGGAGGCGGAGGAGGAGGAGGGGTGGTGCAGACTCGGTTTGAAGTCCTGGGAGGGGAGGAGGTGGGTCACACCCGCGATCGTGCCGCCGCCGGGGTGGTGGTTGGGGAGTTTCTCCGTGGCCGCCGCCCCCGAGAACGGCCGCGCCGGCTGCTGTGTCAGCCCCAGCAGCAGCTCATCCTGCATGGTCTGCTGATGCGCCCGGAACGGGGAGGAAGAGGAAGCGGCGGCGGCGGCCGAGCTGCCCGCGCCGCCGCCGAGGGGGATGGAAAAGGGGGAGGCGGCCTCCGAGAAGCCGGTGACAGGCAACGGTGGCGGAGAGAGCGGGCCGAAGGGCGTGGCGGAGGGCAGCTGGGTGACGGACCCCGCGGCGTAGGGACCGTACGACTCGCCGCTGAACAGGGACTCGGGGCTGCTGCTTCGGAGCGGGGCGGTCTGCAGCACCCCGAACCCGAAGTCCCTCATTTATCAGGCCGGCGGCAGCGGGAAGAGACGCGCCCCGTCCCCTGCCCCGCCTAGGAAGCCGCCGGAGCTGGGGCGGCGCTGCCGTGGTGGAAGGAGAGGGGAGTCAGTGAGAGAGAAACACCGTGACTGAGCCAGGGGGCACCGACTTCGGCCCCGACACCCCTCGCGGCGATTACGGCCGCCTCTTGAGACCGGCTAGGGCACCGCCGCCGCCGCCCTCGCCGCTTAAGAACCCCGGAACGTGCGTCAGCGCCACCTCACAATCGCGCCGCCCCCCGCGGTGCGTCCCGGCACGCGCGGGCGCGAGGCCGCCGCGCCCCGTCGCCCCGCCCCTTATTAATATGCAGATTTAGCCGGGGACGCGCTCGGGATCCCAAGAGGCCGGAGGTGGGGCGGGAGCGAGCGGCTGGTCGCCTTGGAGTCCCTTCCGCGCCCGGAGAAAAGGAAAGGCCGGTTGGGGCAGAGGGCAGCTGGCTAACGGGGGTCTAGAGCCCCTGGTGCGCGCACGCACCAGGGCGAGCACGCGCCAGCGGCACGGACCGTTCCTGGGCAACCGCCCCTCCCGGGTCGCACGCGCCCGCGCGATCCGCCTCCTTCCTGTCACCTCCGTTCCGCCCTCGGTCACGAGAGGCCCGGCCGCACCGACTCGGGCTCCCCAGGGTGGGGCTGGCCCGCGGGGGAAACCGAGGCCCGGACACGCCCCCCCCGCACCCCCCCCCCACCCGCCTGCACTCCACGAGTCCGCCTAGAATTAGGCTCCCGCAGCCGCCGAGCTCAACCCGGGACCTCGGCCGAGTCCAGGGGTAGGGGACGGATGGGGGGGGGGGGGCGGGTGTCCTGTCGCAAACTCGCTGGTCAAGGCCCTGTCTGTTTTAAAATCGCTGAGCGGCTCAGCCCCACCAAGTCCGGCCTTGGGGCCATCCGTGTCGCCCTAGAAAGTGCCTTCTCGGTTTGTTTCCGTGTTTAGCCGCTCGCTGGGCGTGCTGTCACCGACCTTCCTACGGCCGCGTGTAGGTGTTTTCTGTAGGGTAAACACGAAGCATTGGATCCCCGTCTGTATACCAAACATTTTCACTTCGGTGACGAGGAACAAAGTCTCTGGCACATAACACGGCTCCGTGCGGTTATTTACACATATATATGCATAGAATGGGTTCCGAGGCTAGCTCCCATGGTAACCCTGGGCCAGCTCCAAGTCTTCCTGTTTCATAAAAACATTTAATGTGCTATCATCAGGACTGCAGCGTGTGGGACTTCTCACCACCACATTCATTCCGGCGTCCCCGCCCCTTCCCCCCAAGGGAGACTCTAATTTAAACATTTCCGAAGCTTTATGAATTTTCAAGGGAGAAAGATTTCTCACATCAGGGAAAAATAGAGGTTCTGACTCAGCAGCGGACTTGTTGAGGCTTGCAAAATGGAAGGGGAGAGAGAGCTTTCTAAGGTAGAGCTCTCCTTAGAAGCATTAGAATAACTAATCCTGTGTATTTCTTTTCCTATGGAAACATTTTACAAAGAGAAAAAAATTATTTGAGGGACTAGATAAAGAATAACAGAATGATCCACACACTACATAATGAGATGAATTTCATATTCCTGTTTTGCAATTTTAGCTTTTTCTTGGTGCTCGGAGAAGTGAAACTATTGAAAGGATCCTAGAATATATAAACGCTAATCCCAAAAACGATAGAAGGTGGATTCAGATTTACTTGATTTTGGTTTATGAGTGGACAAGAATTAAATATTTAATGTTATAAATTGGCATACTCTTATGGATGTAGGCAGAGTGTACATTTTTTTGTCCTTATTCTGTATTAGTTAAATTTGATTTCTGCTTCTGTTCAGTGTTTCAAATTTATATAAAACAGAATAAATGCAGTGCAAAGAGAGCGACATCGCAAGGGGAAAATATGTTTCACGTATAACATTTATGTCTGATAGCCTATCTCATGAACTAAGTATCATATTGCTTTTGCAATAAGGGAAAAGTGCTTTTTAAAAACTTGTAAATGGTTCAGAAATTGGTGGAGTGAATAGAAAACTGGTTTAAGTTAATAATCTCAAAATCATTTTTAACAATCAGGCAAAATATAGAACTGGAGAAGTGCTTTTATTATTATAAATTACAATGATTAGAAAATACCTGAGTTAATTAGAATTAAAAATATAAATGGCTCTTTTCACAGCACTTATTGACATATTCTGAAATAGTACTCATTTTTAATTCATTTTACAGGGAAAAATACTTCAGCAACTAAGGCATATAAAGTCTTAAAAATGAATGAATTTTTTTCTAAGTAAAGTTGTATTTGGAATCATTTGCAGATCCAACAACAAATACTGAAAGAGGAAGAAAATAGGCATAGACATTAGCTCAATTGTCCATTAACATTGCAGTTGGTACAATGTAAGGAGGACAGAGAGCATACATTTAAAATCTAAATGATTCTGTGCTGGAATTTGAACAAAAACAAGATTTTCTAGTGCTCCAGTACTAGTTTTGTTTTAGAGGATTTAGAACTCTCTGAAATGGGGCAAAGCCATCAAGTTTGATATTACATGAAAAGGTCAAACTTCCTATTAAGTACACCAAATTCCAAATCCTAACTGGCAGGCCCTCTCCTGGCTACTTTAATATCTCAGAAAGTGTTATGAGGGTCCCATTTTCACAGAGAAGAAAGTTTCTGACATCTGAAATTGTTAAGCTAGTGAGCTTCTCCTCATCAAAAATATTAGAACAGAAAGGTTTAATATAGTGCGGAGTGGAGTGGGGGGATGTAAGGGGTTGTCCTCTAGCAGGTTCCACGCCAAGGTCTTATGAGTCTATATTATGATCTTTTTAACAGGAAAATCTGTTCTCTTTATGACCATTAACTAGGACCCTAACTTTTTATTCACCAGCCTCTTATTCATTTATTCTCACTGTCCTAGACAAGTGTTTTTAAAAATATTTTTTGCTACAACCCTATATACATGCGAATGTACACATACTCATGCAACTGAAATAAAGGTTTTATTATGCAATTCTTCAACAAAGTCCAATTTTTAATCTATTTACTTTTTAAAATCAGTAAGTGTATTTCAAGTCACAGAGTTGATTTTAAGACCTTTTAGGTCATGAGCTGAAATTTACAACCAATGTCCTAGAAGACCATTTCAAACATTCTGCTCTGTATGAAAACCCCTTGTCATACCTGCTTTCCTATCCTCACTCTCAGCTGCTGACTAGTCTGCTGGTTTCACTGAGAGGAGAAAAGCAGTCACAGGAGAACTTCCACAGTCACATTGCATCTGTCCCTGCACACCTCGCCTTCCCACCTGCTACATGTCATGTCCCTGCTACTGTACAGGGGCAGCCTCTCCACTAGCCTACCAGATCCTACCCCCACCTGCTCAGGAGATGGCTGCAACAGTTCTCCCTGTCTCTCGTTCATCATCACATTTTTTCTCTCCTGGGAACACTTCAATGTGCACAAAAACATGCTTTACCAGTTCTAACCTTTCAAAACCAAAACTAAAACCTCTTGACCTCCTATTCTCCCCCTTTAGCTACTGCCTCCTTTTTCTGCTTTTACCTCGTCTGAGCAACTTCCAATTTGAGTCTTCAGGTGAGTGTTTCACAGACACCTCAAATTCTACATGTCTGAAATTGAACTCCACACCTCATTAGTCCCCGTCTTCGTGGCACTCCATTGTTTTCATTGCTCAGGCCAAAAACTTTAGAGTCATCCTTGACTTCTGTCTTTCTTGCATCATATCCAAGCCATCAGAACATGCTCTTTGTCCTGCCTTTAAATTACTGGCATGCCTTGAAGATAGTGTGAGTTTGGTTAAAGATCACTGCAATAAAGGAAGTCACATGGATTTTTGGTTTCCCAGTGTATACAAAATTTATGTTCATAATATACTGTAGTCTATTAAGTATGCAATAGCATTATGTCTAAAAGCAATGTACATACATTAATGAAAAAATACTTTATTGTTAAAAATTGCTAACGATCACCTGAGCCTTCAGGGAATCATAATCTTTTTGCCGGTGGAGCATCTTGCTTTGATGTTGTTGGCTGCTGACTGATCAGGGTGGTGGTAGCTAAAGATTGGAGTGGCTGTGGCAATTTCTTAAAATAAGACAACAGTGAAGTTTGCCACATCAATTGACTCTTCATGTCTCTGTAGCATGGGATGCTATTTGATATCATTTTATCCACAGCAGAACTTCTTTCAAAATTAGAGTCTATCCTCTCAAACCCTGCTATTCCTTTGCCAACTAAGTTTATGTAATATTCTAAATTCTTTGTTGCCATTTCAACAATGTTCCCGGCATCTTCACCAGGATCAGATTCCATCTCAAGAAACTACTTTCTTTGCTCATCTATAAGAAGCAACTCCTCATTCGTTCAAGTTTTATCACAAAATTGCAGCAATTCTGTCACATCTTTAAGCTCCATTTCTAATTCTAGGTCTCTTCCTATTTCTGCCACATCTGCAGCTAATTCCTCCACTGAAGTCTAGAACCCCTCAGTCATCCATGAGGATTGAAATCAACTTCTTCCAAACTCCTGTTAATGTTGATATTTTGACCTCCTCCTATTAATCATGAATGTTTTGAAAGGCATCTAGAATGGCAAATCCTTTCCAGAAGGTTTTCAATAGACTTTGTCCAACTCTGTCAGAGGAATCACTATCTATGGCAGCTATAGCCTTACAAAATGTATTTCTTACATAATAAGACTTGAAAGTCAAAATCGCTTCTTGATTCATGGGCTGCAGAATGGGTACTGTGTTAGTAGGCATGAAAACAACATTAGTCTCTTTGGTAATTAGGTACACTGTCAATGAGCAGAAATATTTTGAAAAGAATCTTTTTTTTCTGAGCAGTAGGTCTCAACAGTGGGCTTAAAATATTCAGTAAATCACATAAACAGGTGTGCTGTCATCCAGGTTTTGTTGTTCCATCTATGGAGCACAGGTAGAGTAGATTTAGCATCATCCTTAAAGGC